CTAACATGATTCAGAACGCTGAGAGGAGTCCCCAAGACATGCAAGGATCCTCAGATTGTGGGCTTGAAGCGATGATGATGTTGTCCAAGTACACACTCACTTCGGGGATGTCCTCCAGAACTAGATTCATCAGATGCTGAAAGGCTGTTGGGACCGTCTTCATACCGAAGGGCACCGATTGGTACAGTCAGTCTGGGGTGGCTATTGTGAGTATCCTCCTCGCATGTTCTGAGATGGGAATCTAGTAGTAAGCCTTAAGAAGGTCCAGCTTCAATATGTAGGTGGCATGACCGATGCTGTAGATGCAGTCGTCGATGCGTTGCAGAACATGTGAGTCACATGAGCATTCAACTATCTCGCAGCCGGCACAAACACGGAACTGATTCCCAGGCTTGGGCACCTTCAGACAGGGGGAACTCCACTTGCTGTTCCTGGACTTGATCACTCCCTGGCACAGCATGGTTTTGATATCTTCAGCAAGGCTCTCTTGTGAGTGTTGAGATTGTAAGGGCGCTGCTTAACTGGCTTTGCGTCGCCCACGTCCACGTCTAATACCATGGCATTGGTAATACCAGGAGCATCCTGGAACAAGCCCATGTGATCAGTGATCACCGTCTGCATGTCTTCTCTTTGTTGATCGAGAAGATGCTTCAGCTTGCTCTCTAAATCAGGACTTCACTGTTACAGAGTTGGTTTCCATAACTTCTCATTGATCATCATTTTCTTTGTCAGTTACTACATAGACTGGTTGTGTGGTAGGTCTAGCTTGGTATGCTTTCAGCAAATTAATGTGATCTGGTGTACTGATAGTATACCCTACATCATTAACCTGGCATTTAACTCGGTAAGTATTTAGCTTTGAGGGAGGATTTTTTATGGACAGCAACACTTGGACACCAGCTTCAAATTCTCTGGCACAAGCCTTCTTGTCAAAGTGAGCCCCAATGAACAAAGTAATACCCAGAATTCTGATCCCCTGCCTATGACATGAGCTCCATTGTCTAAATCCACCTTCTGAGGCCTACACAGCGACTCCTGATTAATACCGCCCCAGGTCAATTGTAATCACTTGATTAATCCCTATCATTCGCCAGCCCTGTCACATTGGGCGTGGCTACCTGCTCCTGGGCGAATGTTGAATGAACAACACCCTTCTTGTCTACCTCGGCCTTATCAACAAGATTCTGTGTGACTTCCTGATTAACACTAGTAACAACATCTGCCTCATCAAATACAGCAGACACACAGGAGTCGGATATATCAATTACCTCATTTAACTGCCTGACTTTGGACATAGACTGAGTAATGACGCAAATCGGGAAAAACCCCAGACTAGCCACGACTGGAAACTGGTTAACCACTAAAGCCTGATTGCATCATCCTGAACAACAATTATCTGTTAAGTTGTCAACAGACATCAACACCTGAGATTGTCAAAACGTCCGTGACGCCAACAATCACTTCACCAGTAACAAACTTGCCTTTGAGCCATTCTTTGTGTGATGGTACAGAGACACAGCCTTTACCTATTCCACTAACAATTGCGAAATCACCGGTCGCTGACCTACTGAAGCTGGAAACAGCTGAGGTGTGCATAAGTAATTGCCACGGTCCCTTGTCCGATACACTGACACCTGACTCGACTAATTCCTACGGAACATATCTGACACAGCACCACTATGCACATATGTACCATAGCGATCAACTGGACCGACTATTTCACTACCTTCCGCGCCTGCTGCAGTGTGAACGAAGCCTATTGACGACTTATTATTGGGTTTTTTTCTTTTAAAACAATCTACAACCAAGTGATTGGACATGTCACAATAACTGCACCGAGGCTAAGGCACTCTGGAAGCCACACCTTGGCCACCACAACAGCTTGCTAAATAGCCTTCCTACCATTCTGCCGATGCCATTAGTATGTCAATATGTCTGATGACTGAACCTTGTGTACTAGAACATAATTGTCTGACATCTCAGTGACTTCTTTCAACTTTCCCTACTTTCTGATCTGACAAGATAATTTTCAAACCAGGCAACTACTATCCTTGACCTCTTCTAAATCTCTAACCTCAGACAACACCTTAATAGACTCTGCAGTTGTACACAAATTGTCCTTTTTAGCATTAAACTCAGTGTAACTTTCATAGCCTGCCTTTTTGATACCTCACAGTTGCTCACAATACGCTTCGCTTTTCACCTCATAAGCTCTGAGAACTGTTGATTTTACTTGCTGATAATACCTGGGTTGACAATCGTCCAATGAGTTTTACGCGACATTTGCCTTCCCCTTAAACCAAGACTAAATGTGAATATGCAAATATTCTTCTAGCCAAAGTAATTTTGACGATATTCTTTCAAACTGACCGAAGAAACCCTCTACCTCAGATTCATCAATGTTGGATAAAGACCGGTAACAATGATTTATCTTGACTCTGTCAGACGCACTATCCTGACTTCTACCTTGTCTCTCTTCCAACTCCTTTAACTTGAGCTCATGTTCCTCTCTTTCAGCCTCTATCTTTCTTTCCTCTCTTTCAGCCTCTATCTTTCCTTCCTCCCTTTGAGCCTCTATCTTTCTTTCCTCTCTTTCAGCCTCTATCTTTCTTTCCTCCCTTTGAGCCTCTAACTTTCCTTTCTCTCTTTCAGCGTCTATCTTTCTTTCCTCTCTTTCAGCCTCCTCACTTTCCTTTCTCTCTTTCAACCTCTATCTTTCTTTCCTCTCTTTGAGCCTCTAACTTTCCTTCCTCTCTTTCAGCCTCTAACTTCTTCCTTGTCTTTCAGCCTCTATCGTTTTTATTCTCTTTCAGCCTCTAACTTTCCTTTTTCAGCCTCTAACTTTCTTTCCTCTCTTTCAGCCTCTAACTTTCTTTCCTCTCTTTCAGCCTCTAACTTTCTTTCCTCTCTTTCAGCCTCTATCGTTCCTTCATCTCTTTCAGCCTCTAACTTTCTTTCCTCACTTTGAGCCTCAAGCTCAAACATCTGTCTGTTTCTGAATCAATTGAAATTCCCCCGACTTCAACATCAGAGATGTGGATGAAGTAATTAGTGAATGGGATGACATTTTCTGAGATAATTCAAGATGTTGAAGGAAGTTTGTTTTTTTCCATACACCCACCTAGTTTTGATATTATTACTCACAACAGCTGCTGAAGCTGTAAATCGTTCTGAGACGGCCCACAGAAGTACAGTCAGCGTCTCTGGGGCGCCAGTGACCACTTCACGTCCCTTGATGCAAAAGCAGTACAGCATATCACGAATTGAAAGCTCTACAAGTCTACTGTATTATCTACAAATAATACATAATTATTAGACAGATTATACATAAACATAAAATTCCCAACCAGATTCGATCAACATCAGCAAGAGTTCCCTCCCTTACAACATTGCGATTAATGCATGGCCAATGTGTTATCACAAAATTTGGCAAAAATAAAACGAGTTTGACAAAAATCTTAAACATAAATTAAATATTTTGTTTTATAAGATTTGAATCATTTTATGTATGGATGTACGGACATGACGCCATAAGATAAACAAACTACTCCCACCTACTGTGACATTTGTACCCTGGCAACACAATCTTTTCACTTCCAGAATGGCCTGGTTTTGAAGTTCAACCAGCTCTCTGCTTCTCAAATGAAAAGAGTCAAATGGGCCAAACAAACGCATTTATGCAAGATAGTACCAATTCTGTCTTGTACTTTTTACCAGGCCCCAAGAGTCGAGATCACGTCAACGACAAATGGTACACCACTAGGCCCGTTGGTGTAAATGTCATAGGCAACATGATGAAAGATATTTCTACCAACGCTGGTCTCAATAAAGTTTACACAATCCATTGTCTTCTGGCAACTACCATCAATTTGCTCTCAAACGCAGGTATTGAAAATCGCGAGATTTGCTAAATAACCCGCCACGAAACCGATGAATCGCTGGAGTCATATTCCACTGACTCGTGCTCGGCTCTGACACGACACTATTCGAGCATCCTTCAGGGACTGCAGCAGGTCGCTAACGAACGTAGTTTGGTTCCTTTCCAATGGAACTAGCCTGCCACCGTCCACTGCTCCGGTGAATAGCGGTGAATAATTAATTCTTCTGCTAATTCCCATGGTCTCTTTCACAAATGTAATTCCGCTTTAACATTAAAAACCTTTTTCCATCCCAACTAGGCTGCATGTCCAAAATCTCACACATCTTTGACGTCACTTGTCACCACCTCAGTTTCAGGCGAGATGACACTATCTTGGATGGGAGCCAAACAATACCTATGTCTTTTCTAATTTTGATTAATTTGTATCTTAAAGATATGCATTATTATATACAAGTTACACGTGAGAATAACTGTGATAAAAAAGTAGAAAATTTATGTTTCCTGCTGTTGTGGTTCTTGTTGTTGTTGTTGTTGTTATTGTTTGTTTGTTTTCTGACAAATGGGAGTGAAAATGTAATCACCCCTTTCATAAAATGAACCATCAATATTGGAGTACCTCGAAACCAGTGATCAGTTTCGCGGCACCCCATAGCATGCATGTTGCCGAAGGTAAGGACGAGGAGACGTATTACCAACGACAGTTTTGTTGCCTCATGCGCTCAATAAAATAGATTCTCCTAAATATTGATTTTAAATAACGTTCATGTTACAAAGTCGATATCTCGTTTTATATGTTTTGCGTAATGTTCTGCTGAATGGATGTTCAGATTTTGTTTCATTTGAACACAACCCTGTAAATAGTGTCCAAATGAAAAAATTCCAAAGATCCATTCTGCATAACATCATGCACATCTTACAAAACGAAATATTTATCTCCAAACTGAGCAATTTATGTTACTTGTTCCAAATCAAGTAGTTCATTCCATGAAACACACAGATAAAACGTGCATGTGACTGCAACAAATAGAAATCATGATGTGAAACGTGGTCTATGATTACTAAGGTCGTCGTAACAGATAAAGATAACACTTTGTAGACAAAATCAAAACAAGGATTGTTTATCACGAGCAACAATGTATAAAGGCAACTGCTGGGATACCTGGGTATTCATTCATCCACCATGAAGGCTGCCTATCTAATTCTCCTCGTCTCTGTCCTGCTCATCGGAGCAGCGTTTGTCGGTGAGTAACTTAATATATGTTTATTTTGCTTGACATTTCCCAAACTACATTCAATAACTATTTTTGTTCCTCGAAGATCCGGGGTAGAATAGGTCTTCAGAAACCCATGCTTGCCGTAAAAGGCGACTATGTTTGTCGTAAGAGGCGACTAAAGGGATCGAGTGTTCAGGCTCTCTGACTTGGTTGATGCATGCCATCGATCCTAATTGCGTGGATCGATGCTCATGTTGTCATTCACTGGATTGTCTGGTTCAGACTCGATAACTTACAGACCGCCACTATATAGTCGGAATATTGCTGAGTGCGGCGTTAAACAGCAAACACAAAATAACTATTCTATAACAAGTACAGAGAATCATAAAACAACTATTGAAAATTCCTAATTTTCTATGAACTAAATGAAGACTTCCATGGCTTTTACTTTACCCATCAAACGACGTTGACCCTAGACGAACACACTGGACCTGTGTGCCATCTTCTGTAATGTGATCTGTGGTGAAGACATTATCTGAACATAAAACATCCGTAGCTATAGTTATGATTGTACCATAAACAGTAAAAACATCCCTGCGGTCTAGTGGAATGAATCACAATAATATGTTCATTGATTAAGATTTAAAAATTATGGTTCAACTACTATGGGAGAAAATGTATTTTTGGTCAAAGCTCTAACTCTTTGAAGCAATTACATGAAGACAGTTGGAGCTCAAAACTAATTAAGATTGACTGTTTATTCATAAAATTCCATTGTCTTCAAAACTGAGGGTACCAATCAAACGTTCCGCTGATTCTTGAGTGTTGATTGTCAATGTTGTGGCTTCATCTTCATCTTCTGTTTCGTGTGACATGCCATACATGTATATTTCTACATTACAGCTGATGCCCAGTGTAACGGCATTTGCCACAACGACCTGGAATGCGCACACTGCCAAAACCTATGCCCCGTTGGAGGGGAGTGTACCAGACGCCCTGATGATGCCGTTGGCGCTTGTGTATGTCGTCATTAGTAAGTACAGCAAGTGAATTAATGAGTATAGGATTTGACTGCTTTGAAGTATTTCACTTATGACAACATGTGACAAAGGTTGTGATACTCATGAACTTGGGTATGGTGCCGTAAGACCAGGCAACTCTGTTTTTATAAATAAACCAACTAAAGTTGATAAGTACATAAGATCTTGACATGAAAACGTCAGGTGCTTACTTGGAGAACAGATAAAATCCGTTTCTCGTTGTTTGAATGAAGGTGAAATAGAAAATGGAAAATGTTATTATAATTATTCTTAATACTACTACTACTACTACTACTACTACTACTACTACTACTACTACTACAGGTGTTCCTGTGCTTCTTCCAATGGTTCTTGTGAAGCTGTTGCCCAATAGAATAAAATAGTTTTGAGCTCATGAGAATTTCTATTTTCAGGTGCTGTATCCTAGGAAGAGTTGCTGAATAAGCTGCCACCTTGTACCAAGGGTTAATAAATGATATAAACAAGAATCTCTCTGGGCTGCTGTGAATGAATGAATGAGTAAGTTTTACGCCGCTTTTAGCAATATTCCAGCAATATCACGGCGGGGGACACCAGAAATGGGCTTCACACATTGTACCCATGTCGGGAATCGAACCCGGGTCTTCGGCGTGACGAGCGAACGCTTTAACCACTAGGCTACCCGACCGCCCCTGGGCTGCTGTGTGACAATGTGCAATAATGAGTGGTTTTCAACTAACACCTCATGGGACACCATGAGTGGACTGGTGCAGCAGTATTCTTGGGGCGCGGATGTTCATGGCGTCTAAGGTGTTAGCAGTTAGCTGTGCATAGTTAAGTCCCCTCGGCATACCAGTATCCTATAGTTGTGGGTTCGAATCTCAGATTCGCCCTAATTAATACTTAATTTGTCAACACCACATCACCATGTCAAAGTACATGAAGACCTGCATCACCTCTGTCTTTCCTCAAACAATTAAACCTGCAAACTCACCTTACTGAATCACCCATAGATGTATCATGGGCATTAGATAGGAACATAAATTGTGAATAGTGCTTCAAACTTAAAACTATAATAACTGTTAGAAAACCTTTAACCTTTACGGGATCCCTAGCCATAGTTCCAAACCCCAAGCACATTCGGTCCGCCTCCCCTATGGTCAGTCAGTATTCACTGCTGAATTGGAGGAATTCAAGCACTCAAGCCCATACAGGAACTATAGGCAGCAAAGGCAGTTCAGTGGCAGAAACTCAAACTCGAGACCAAACACAGTACTAGTCAATAATAGTGTATACGAATATACAAAACTATCAGGCCAAGGGCAACAGGTGGAGCTGTAGTGGATCCCATCTCACATAGATATTCATGGAAATGAAAAGGCACACACTGGGGAAACTAGCCCTAGACAAAGCGTAGATAGTGGCTTTTACCTTCAGCAAACTAGAGATAAAAAGCAAAAGCAATGCATCCATAGCCCAAAATGGCAAGCCCAATGTGATACATGTCAGATCGGCAGGTGGCTAAACAAAATGCAACCCAAGATCCACAAAAAGCCTTCTTCATACTCAAATGAAAGGAAGGTTGAAAATGCCATCTCTCGCCTCAGACTCTGCCACCAAAAGCACTATGACAATGTATGCCCATCTTGCAATCAACCTGAATTCATTGTTCACTTGTTACTGGAATGCCAAGACCATGCCCCAGCCAGGCTCGTCAAAAACATGAATTGCAGTTAGATCCGCCATCTGTTGTACATCTCCTAAAGCCAAGAGACTCAATAGCAAAGGCCAAACTAACTCTATTTCTGAGAGATGGTCAGCTACTCGAACCTATATAAACAGAGCAGCCAAAGAAATTCTATCAATTTCTAGAAATCAAAAATGAAATATCAGTACGAAAACAGAAATCTTATCAATGCAAAATCAAAAATGTTATCAGTACAAAAATTCCCACTATTATGTGTACCCTACTCCCAAAGAGCGACAGGTCAGCTGAAATTGTTAAGGCAGAAGGCGTCCTCTTAAACATTTAAAGCAACCAGTGTCTACAAACGTGTTCCCGTCCCTGGGAAGTCTATTTTTTGTTCACCATTGTTGTATATATTTGTTAGCTCCCTATCCCTATATGATGTTCATGTAAATAAATCTGAGTAGATTGACTAGTTGTCTCTTGCTATACCTTGTTAAGCTACCCCTTTTTAATCAGAACATGATAGCTGTAACTAGTAAGTCAGTGGGGCATTTGCCTGGTGCTTTAAAGTAGCGTTCAGGGCCCAGTCTAATACGTGCACGCATCAGACATTATAACAATGTTGTATTTGGATAAATGTCAATGTTTCTGTAAGCCATACCCTTCATATCCACGAACTGTCCTCCCTTTCCACCCCGTGGAGATTACGGGATGGAATAATTGATCCATGAGTTGTCTCTGATTGAGCATCATTGCTGCTTGATGCGTTATTTAAACAACAAATAACTATTCTTCTCTGTCTGAGACGGGGGCACGGGAGGCCCAGCCGTCTGAAGCGCATCAACTCGATGTGCAGAGTTGCGTCCCTTGGGCATGCTAGAAAACTATGATCGTGGTTCGAATACACGTTCGCCCCGGTTATGTTTCTAAGTATGTCCACACTATACCCGTGGGTTTCGCTGAAATGGAAAACTTCTAAGACCTGCAGACCTGCATCACTTCGGGCTGACGCCGGAATACTGTTTGTCAGCAATATACCCATTCTCGTGGGTTTGGCCAAAGTGGTAAACGTCTAAGACCTGCATCACTTCGGGCTTTCCTCCCACACAAGGCTGACACGCCGTGATATAACTTGGATACTGTTCAAAGCGACGTTAAACCAAACTCACTGACTCATTGTCTGAGACAACAAACATTTATAATGCCTGTCAATACAAAAATATTTTGAAGATGGGGTCACAAATGCTTGCTGCACTCAAGCATCTCTTGTAGACTGACCACCCTGATATACATCATTCCAACGATATTCTCCTTGTGATCAAGTTAAAACACTACTATAATGAGAGGTGGAGTTCCAGTGCTGTCCTGTAAGGTGTGTTGAGGCAGGCGATGCTTCAGCCCATACTGTACATATTGGCCTTGATTGAGTGAGTGAATGTGTATTGTTGTATGCCGCTTTTAGCAACATTCCAGCAATATCACGTCGTGGAACACCAGAAATGGGCTACACACATTGTACCCATGTGCGGAATAGAACCCGAGTCTTCGGTGTGACGAGCGAACGCCTTAACCATTAGGCTACACGACCTCCCTTTTGGCCTTCATTCAGAAGGCTCATGATTGGCAACATTAGGGAAAATAATTTGCCACTTCAACATTAACACAACTCTACCCACACTTGTTTTAAGTTCCATAGATAAGTAATAGGTAATGGACACTGGGCAAACGGGAGGCCTGGGTAATTAGCACTGATAGGTGAAATAATGGACGTAGCAAAGAGCAAATTGAAGACAGCTAGGTGACTAGCACAGACAAAGATCAAAGCAATTTATTCCTTTGAATTTATTTCATTTTTTTTTAAAACAAAAATGGATGTTGTATTCATTTGTCAGATTCCTACTGAAACGTGTACCTAAACATGTAGAACTTCAGCTAACATTATTGCCACGACCCAGTTCAAATGTGTGATTTTAACAGGTGTTTGTCAAACTGTTGTCACATATAATTTGTCACAATCAACAGTGAATGTTCATGCAATTCACAAGACTCGTGATTTTACTGTCTATTAATAAGACTTGCCTCACACCTGTCTGTCGCACGAAGAATCACAACACTGATAAGCATGCAGGGATAGTTGAGATAATAAAAACAAGGCTACATTCCCCTGCCATAACGAATGTGTACACTTCTACTCGAATCAACGACAAAGCCTTATATGCTTATTGGTTGACATCGACACATGAAATATCCTGTATAGATAACATGTAAAATATTTGTATTTTATTGGTCAATGACGTTTTACGTGTACCACTGTCAAGCGATTATAACTGGAAACGTGTGACCGGTCGTAGCAACAGACGTTTCGCATATCTCTATATTCTCTACAATTCAAGATCCTGATAGCCAAACGTTATAGCGTAATGTGTAATATAAACATTGGCTTTCCGTGAACGAGATACAGAGAGCTTCAACAACTTGTCATCTGGCGATGTGGCAACAAACAAACGCTTCGCATTTCAATCTGTCTGTTTCAAATGATCGCCTCCGTGATCTAGTGGTAGAGCGTCCGCCCGGAGAGCGGAAGGTTCGGGGTTCGATCCACGGCCCCGTCACACCAAGAGACGCTCCGAGACTGCCTCCATGGTTTAGTAGATCGAGCGCCTAACCACAGAGCGGAAGGTCAGTGGTTCCATCCCCTGGACGCGTCATACCAAAAGACATTAAAGGATGGTACTTGTTGTTACCCTGCCTGACGCTCGGCATTAAGGGGCTAAAAACAAGAACTGGTCGGCTCGGAGTCAGTTTAGTGTCTCTGGGTGGGGAATTTCATGTTAAACTTCTACGTGGTATCTCAGTGGACTAGCACTATAAAATCGACATGTGTACAAGCAGCCAAACACAAAAATCACTCTTGACAAATTAATTACCTTCTTCAAGGATGTCGACGACTGCCCCGATGATGATGTGGACGTCGACGGGGTCACTACTGAAGGCACTAAGTTAGAAGAAGAGATCGTGGAAGCGATCGATGGACTCAAAACAAACAAGGCCCGTGGTATCGATATTGTGTGTAACGAGTACATAAAATCCTCAAAATGTTTACTTTCACCTGTCAATAAAAAAACTATTTAACCTTGTTCTTTGCACAGGGATTTTCCCTGAGAAATAGCCTATTTAAAAAAACAAAGGTTAACAAGATAACCCTGTCAATTACCGCCTAGTAACACTGTTAACTGTATCAGTAAACTGTTCACATATATAATCAATGACAGATTAAGTTAGTACTTAGAATCAACAGGTGTCCAACTTGACAACCAAGCTGGTTTTAGGAAGGGATTTTCGATGAGAGATACCTATGTACGCTTCATACATTTTCTGAAATACTAAAATCAAGCAAACGAAAACTCTATTTAGCTTCCATAGATTTCAGTAAGGCTTTCGATAATGTTTGGAGAACTAGTCTCTGGAGAAAACGTTTAACTATAATTTAAACGATAACCTCTTTAATGTAATCAAACCTATGTACACGGTATAAAATCTTATGATTCTTTTTTTGAAAAAATCGTGTTAGACAAGGCGAATCTTTATCGACACATATTTTGCATAATACAAAAATGTCTTTGCAAAATCTCTTATATTCAATAACATGGAATGTATACCCCATAGCCTAGATTCAATTCCCCACGTGGGTACAATATGTAAAGCCAACTTCTGGTGTCCCCTGCGGGGATGTTGCGGTAATTTTGCTAAAAGCGGCGTAAAACCAATCTCACTCATACATACTCATCACAAGGTGAAGACGGTGTTCTGTTATATGCGGTCGAGTGAGTGAATATGGTTTTACGCCCCTTTTAGCAATATTCTAGCAGTATCACGGTCGAATCCGTCATTCTAGCTGTTAGCCCTCATGAAATATAGAATTCACCAGATTCCTTAATAATTGTTGTAAAATAAACAACCTGGCAATTCACGAGGAAAACACGACAATGGTTAAATATATTTCAAAGAAGAAAACATGTAAGTAAATACTGCTTAAAAAGTTGGTAATGAACCTGTTTAGATTGTAAATCAATGTACATGCGTTGATCTGATCTTCAGCAGTAACCGCTTACAAGTATGCCACCGCCAGGAAATGTATTGTCAACCAAGCATTCATTGAACGTAAATTTTATATATTTGACCACACTGCATGTCCTATTTTGTTATACGGGTGTGATTTATGGGCCGCAGAGCTCCAGATAAGCTTTTGGTGTTGTGGGTATTTTACCCATGCATTTTAAAATCATTGGGTATCAGTAATTCTATCTGGGTATTCAAATTTCTGTTACCCTCTAGTTTTTACACATTTGGGTATTTAAGTTAAATATTTAAAAACACTATTCATCTTGTCCCTGCAAACTGGTGTCGTGTGGGTTCGAGAGCTTTATAGGACTCAAAAATACCGCGATACTTCCACACGAAAGTGTGATGGCAAATGATCATGATGTAACTGTCATCGTGGAGTTTGGCAAGGTTGACGGAATGTCCGGATATAATTTCAAAATAAGTTGCTGATTTGCTAATCGAAAACGCAGGGTTACTTCTCAATATTTTGATGATACGCACAAGTTTAATTTGTGTAGCGTATCTGTAATGTTCGTTGCGTATTTGATACGCTTGAATATTATTTCACTGCGTATTTCTGCATTTCTGATACGTATTTTACGCAGATACGCAGCTTATCTGGAGCTCTGTATGGGGTTTCGAAAATGTTAGTGTCATCGAAATGATACAGACCGACTTTCTGTGACATATATTTACTCTAACACGTTTTACTCCCTCAACAGATTGTACGGCGAAACCCGTCGTTCACCCTAAACTCTTACTCATACTTACTTACTTTGGAGATTTAACGTGCGCTTTCCGACTGATGCGTATTTCGCACACGGTCTGCTTACTGGTTTAAATAGTATCCGGAAAATGTAACTCTACCCAAACAAAATCATACCAATTAGCACTGACTAACTCACTGAAACACGACTACCACTTTAAAAGGCTCCTGTTTATTAAAGTGTCTCTGGATGACCTTGGACTATCAAATATCTGGCAATCACAAAATATTATTTCCCCCATATGGTTTAAACATGCAGTTAATCTACGAATTTCCAACCAGTCGCTCCAATACATGAATGAAAAACTAGCATCTTCCTCTAAATATGTCACTTACCTTTATGTGAAATCACATTTCAATATTCCATGGCTACAGACTAAACTGGGCACAAAGAATCATAACATATTATTAAATTTTAAAGATTATACAGTGATTGATATCATGAGCATCGATCCACGCAATTGGGATCGATGACATTCTTCAACCAAGTCAGCAAGCCTGACCACCCATCCCGTTAGTCGCCTCTTACGAGAAGCACAGTCGCCTTTTACGGCAAGCATGGGTTGCTGAAGACCTATTCTAACCCGGATCTTCACGAGATGATAACTGGGTATGTAAATAGATACATACTAGTAATACTACATGAATGTATGTGTATATATGTGCGTGTGTGTAAATATATGTGTATTATATGTATATGTATAATTAATACGCTGGATTGTAACTGTAACTGCCTATGCCTCTCTACTCATAAATCTCCATCTCCATAATGCTTTACATATGTAAACGTATGTGTAATGAAGCTGAGTGATGATGATGGCCTTTGTTCCTGAGGTCCTGATGACGTGTCTAGTCACTGTTCTACTCGTCCTAATGAGGTGTCTGGTCACTGTTCTACTCGTCCTAATGAGGTGTCTAGTCACTGTTCTACACGTCCTAATGAGGTGTCTAGTCACTGTTCTACTCGTCCTAATGAGGTGTCTAGTCCATGTTCTACACGTCCTGATGACGTGTCTGGCCATTGTTCTAATCGTCCTGATGACGTCTCTCGCCACTGCAATATTCATCCTGGTGACGTGTCTGGTCACTTTTTTAACTCGTCCTGGTGACGTGTCTTGCAATTGTTCAATCGTCCTGGTGACGTAGCTGGCAACTGTTCTACTCGTCCTGGTGACGTGGCTGGTCACTGTTCTACTCGTCCTGATGACGTGTCTGATCACTGTTCTACTCGTCCTAATGAGGTGTCTAGTCACTGTTCTACACGTCCTGATGACGTGTCTGATCACTGTTCTACTCGTCCTAATGAGGTGTCTAGTCACTGTTCTATTCGCCCGGATGACTCGTCTGGCCACTGTAATACTCCTCCTGGTGACGTGTCTGACCACAGTTCTACCCGTCCTCGTGACGTGTCTTGCCACTGTTCTACTTGTCCCGATGACGTGTCTGGTCATTGTTCTAATCGTCCTGGTGACGTCTCTCGCCACTGCAATATTCATCCTGGTGACGTGGCTGGTCACTGTTCTACTCGTCCTGGTGACGTGTCTTGCCACTGTAATACTCGTCCTGGTGACGTGTCTTGCCACTGTTCTACTCGTCCTGGTGACGTGTCTTGCCACTGTTCTACTCGTCCTGGTGACGTGTCTTGCCACTGTTCTACTCGTCCTGGTGACGTGTCTTGCCACTGTTCTACTCGTCCTGGTGACGTGTCTGGTCAATGTTCAACTCGTCATGGTGACGTGTCTTGCCACTGTTCTACTCGTCCTGGTGACGTGTCTGGCCATTGTTCTACTCGTCCCGGTGACGTGTGTGGCCACTGCAATTTTCATCCTGGTGACGTGTCTGGTCACTGTTCCACTCGTCCTGGCGGCGTGTCATGCCACTGTAATTCTCGTCCTGGTGACGTGTCTTGCCACTGTTCTACTCGTCCTGGTGACGTGTCTGGCCATTGTTCTACTCGTCCCGGTGACGTGTGTGGCCACTGCAATTTTCATCCTGGTGACGTGTCTGGTCACTGTTCCACTCGTCCTGGCGGCGTGTCATGCCACTGTAATTCTCGTCCTGGTGACGTGTCTGGCCATTGTTCTACTCGTCCTGGTGACTTGTCAGGCCACTGTTCTACTCGTCCTTGTGGGGTTTCTGGCCAGTGTAATACTCGTCCTGGTGACGCGTCTTGCCATTGTTTTAGTCGTCCGGGTGACGTGTCTGGCCATTGTTTTAGTCGTCCTGATGAGGTGTCTGGCCACTGAGTATGTTTAACGCCGTACTCAGCAATATCCCAGCTTCATGACGGTGGCCTGTAAATACTCGAGTCCCGTTCACTTTAGTCCCGTTCACTCGTGAATAAAATATGTTTAAATCAAATCATATTCAAGTCTGGACCAGACAATCCAGTGATTGACATCAGGAGCATCGATCTACGCAATTGGGATACGATGACATGCATCAACCAAGTCATGCAGCGAGTCTGACCACCCGATTTTCCCCTCTTGGGACAAGCATAGGTTACCGACAACTAATTCTAACCTGGGTTTTCACGAGGGGTTAAGTCTTAGGAAGAAGACACCAATGTAACAGTCCTCCTGGTGAAGGATTTGTCCACTGTTTTACAAATCCTAATGACGGTTGATACGAAAAACATCTGAAACCCTTCTTCATATGTATCAGCTGATAACACACACACACCAAATGTAATGTTTTGTATATATTTCTTTTCGCCCAGCATGTTAATAAAGTGTTAGATTAACGACAAATAAACCACAATACAAATATTATTACACACAAAAAGGGTATAGATTGGAAATTAATTTTTCATGCAAGGGGAAATTTAAGATGCATGTCAATATAAACACACCTTTTTGAGAACCGGTCATGTTTGTTGCCCAGTATAAACCAAATTGAACGGTTATAAGCCGGAGTGGTGGCAAAGCTTGCGTTAGGGGCTACACACAAGCACAAGTTGCTTACTGCCCGTGGGAAGGTCTGAGAGACAAGCCATCAACCCTCTAGCAGGGGGCCCCTGTGATCAGGGGGTGGGCCACCAGAAATAGGTCCAGTGGGGTGTGTTGAGGCAGGCGAAGCCGAGGCTGATGCTGTGCACCTTCGCTGTGAATGAGAGCGGCTCATGGCTGGCAACACTAAGTTCAATGTGCAAGGTGGCACAACGTGTCATACCTCGATTCAGACTACTCTGTCATCACTCCTTTTGTGCAACACAATATCCAACCAGTGATGTCGAATCGTGTTGAAACATGACATTTCATTTGACGCATATACTTTCCTTTTGTTTATTATTTTATCTTGTAAACTGGTATCGATTTATAAAGACGAGTTTAGAGATTCCAAAGAAATCAAGACATATTGATTCATACCCTTTTCACCAACCCAGAAACCATTCTTGAACAGTCGATCTGTGTCAATTCTTTGAATGTGGTATGCAATTTATGCCACGGATTATTTCCCTTAGATGACAAGCCTCACTTCCGGGGTAAACATCATGTGTTTGTCGTTTCTTCCTGTCTTTCATTAGTAAACATCGACTGGGCAAACCGTCAGAGGCAGTCGAGGCGACATTGGTGATGGAACATCATCCGCCGGTATCACCACATCAACACACGAGGAAATGGCTGAAATAAGACTTGGCAATAGACACGGTACTTCTTTTCTTCACTGCTTTTCACAGACAGTGTAAATACACACAATATTTTTAAAAAGTCAGTGAATCTACCTGAGTTATTAGATATTTCAGTCAACTGAAAGCAAACAGAGAGACCCAATCTGGCCGCTGACTAACAGTAAGGCTCATTTTTTTCGCCAATAAGGTCTTTTAACTTTATTAAATATTTATATATGCTCACACTTGCAACATTTACCTGTCACTGTAAGCGACGGGAAACCAATTTATTTTCTCATATACAGTGTATAAAAATCAAATGATGGCTATTGCCTCACACTAAATTAAGTCTTATTGACTTGTTTATGTGTGTCATGTTTATCACAAAAGTTATCCATTCAGAGGTCATATTGTAAAATTCATGCCAGTGAGTAACTGATCAGGGGGGTAATTTAATGAATTTGGGTGTGAAAATAGCAATGTTTTAATTTAAGTATCTTGAGATTGTGTCACATGTCAAAATTCCAATGAGATCTCTACTTGTTTGGCAGTCTAACATATCCTAATGTGTTATGCATTGCAATACTTTGTTTTGCAACATATATTGTGATGATTCACATAACACAATGACTACCAAAAAAGGTGTTTTTATTCAGACACAACATGTGAAACAAACGGGGAAAAAAATATTTATTTTCCAGAATCAGTTTTTTATGTTAATCATGATTCAGTTATTAGGTCGGAGCCAGTCTTTTGTGCATGTTCTAAAGACTGGTTGCGACCGAATGGGTTTTGTGACCGCTCTGAAACCTTGTGGGGACCTCACTGAAACCTTTCAGAGACCCTTGCAACCTCATTGCGATTGTCAAATATTTTGGTCACCAGGAGGTTGTATCGCATGTATCGCAGTGGCATTGTCTGTGTGACTGAGGCTTTAGCTGAACAACCTTGGCTGTGCTGAAAGCAATATGTCGTAAAGTAGAGATATGTTCACTTCCTATTTGATATATGCCATTTTTTGACAATTGAACTTTTACTATGATATTCTCATTGTCACCGCTTCATACATGTCATGTTAGTGATATTTTAACATACTCTACATAAAAGGCTCATTTATGGATGGGGGTTTGTTGACAATATTCTGTATCACACGCACGGTTGGTATTAAACATGTTAACATAGTGGTGGACCCACAAAGATGCAGGTTAGAATGGTCTTCGACAACCATGCTTGTCATAAGAGGCGACCAAGGAGATCGGGTGATCAGGCTTGTCGACTTGGTCGATGCACGTCATTGTATCCCAACTGCGACGATCAATGCTCATGATATCAATCAATGGATTTTCTGGCCAAGACTTGATTATTTACATACTGTCATCATATTGCTGGAATATTGCTGAAATAAACAACAAACAAAAAATGTTAAATTAGTAAGATTTCAAAACAAAGAACATGAGATGACTCAAGAGATATGAGCTCATGATTTTGTCGGAGTTATCCAGGAAATATTTGTCAAATTGCCTGACACTTGTCTTAGTTTGAAAACCAACCTTAGTACCCGTTTCTATATGATTGGCAATACTGTCTTCTTGGTCTTGCTTCATGAAAATCTGCTGTTGTCTACAGGAGGAGGAGATGAGAGCGACTCACACCTCCGGAGGATCAACGTGCCGCACGTACAACAGTGTTACCACTGGGACTGCGGACTTGCCTGCGTATCCATGGTGCTCAAGTGAGTCAAACAATGATAGTGTATACTAGATTATTCAGTGCTTTAAATCTCAATTCTATTAGGATATCGACACTATGGCTTCGATTTGGACGTAACTCAATCTCCTACATCATTATAGCACAAAATGTCTCTTGCTCAGTAGCTTCAAATCAACATCCAATCAAAATGACGGTCCAGAATACAGGTTCAGCACAGGTCTGTATTCCAACTTGCGACCTCGTCCGGACGTTCATATTCCCTTGATAAGTTTAATCGAATCAGAAGAGAGTTGTAACTGGATAGGTGCGAAAGGAGGGAGGTCATTTTTTGTTGCAAGATCTTTGTTGCTTTTGTAATGGGGAGTTGAGAACTGGTAATATTGCCAGTTGTTTCAAATGTGAAAGACAGTGTAATTTTATTACTATATAGTGTTCACATAATACAAAATAATAAAAAAATGAATTACCGTATTCGACATAATAAGTGTCCACGGCCATATTTGCTAATATATTGGCGAGTGAACAATCCAATTAGCACCCCTTCCGATTGATCAGTGTACACAAGACTTATTTATTCGTGTATAATACGCACTCGTGTGTTATATGCACCCTTAATTATGGGCAATTAAATTCTGGAAAAATATATCTGTCGTATATAAAAAGTTCAGGCCGTCAGCATAAACCACGAAAATTTATCTTTAAACTCTGTTTTTTTTCACCAAAATAATATTCTAATAAGAGCTCCCTATTTCTAATATTGAGAGCGCCCTGGGCGCTTATTACATCGAATACGGTATTACTTATATTAATGATAGATGTCCATGAATTGAGAAGTCTGGTACTGGTCACTGTGATGTCGTTGGAATATTGCTGTGTAGGCATAAACAACAACCACACACTGCCTACTCCAGACTTGAATATTTACAGGTCACCGTGTTGCTGCTGGAACATTGCTGACTGCGGTGTTAGCATGCAGTTACTCAAACAGGCTAAGGATGTTAAGACTTTTGTCTCAGCAGTGTTCTGTCCATCAAGCCTGGTAGAGGCAACAAGAATGGTGTGGTTAAGATTCTTTGATAAGTTTAAGAATTCCTTGTCTCAGTGCTGTCAAGTGTCTGTCAGCATGCACTTCACAGCAACTAATTTACTGGTAGGTGTGTTGTGATATTTTAATCAGCGAATGAGTTTCATTTCTTTCTCTCTCATCACATTACAAGTTTTGTTGAGGAAACGATGGTCGCATTATGTTAATAATCCTGTTGAGAATGTCCTTCTCCTACCTCTCGCTGGGGCATGTTTTAATCTGGTGAAGAATTTATTTTTTGTTGTAATATAGTTTTTGTTGTCTCCTTCCTCCTGTTTTATATTGAGGTTTTATGTTTACGATGAGTAGGTGCATAGGGTTGCCATGGTAACACATTTTGAAACTTTGATCATGTTATTCACTGATCGACTTCATTGATGATTGAAGGGTTTCCAACACAGGAAGTGGCCATGTGTTCTGTGATCTATTTACAGTTATGTTGGTGCAGTGGGAGTAGGGAGATGACAAAACTGAGTATGATCCATCATTATGAGTCCCTGTTTCAAATGATGGGGAAAGTATGCTGTTTTATCATACTCCTGATCTAAAAGGATTGGGTGATATAGTTATACCAAGGATTTCCTTCCTCCTTTTGTGTGCGACCCATCACTTGAAAACTACAGCATAGATTCCTTTTAAACTTGGTGAACACATTCTTTACCAATAGGAGAACTGCAGGGAGAAGTTTGATTTCTATATTTGGATTTTTGAAATGAAATACGGCTATTTTTCATGTTTTTACTTAGGATCTTTTTACTTCAACATTTGTGCAGCTTATAACTTGAGAACTACATCATGGATTCTTTTCAAATTTAAGCAACACTTTCTATACTAATAGAAGAGGTGCAGTGAAAAGTTTGATTTCGATATGTGTATTTTCTGAGAAAATATTGCTTTTTTCATGTTTTGAGAAATATGCTGGGGTCGAAGTCAGGGCAAAGTGAGCCCTTCCACTTTATGCCTTGTTTATTTTTATTCACTCAGATCATGTTGGATTGTGTGTTTTTTTCTGCTACACTGGGCAATATTGCAGCTATTTGATGGCGGCCTGTAAATAACTGAGTCTGGACAAGACAATCCAGTGATTGATAATATGAGTGTTCCATGCTCTAAGGTGTCCACACAACTGATTTATTCAGCTCTTTCGACCAGCATAGGTTGCTTGGTACCTCTTCATGGGAACAGTTGGTGGTTCGATCCTCAAAAGTGCCATACCAAAAGACCATATTAAAGATAGTACATGTTGTTACCTTGCCTGATGCTCAGCATTAAAGAGGATAAAATAGATGGCTTGGAGTCAGTAAACTATGTCTGAGATGGAGGGCAAACTGAACACACGTCCATGCACATTGCTATAAAAGTGCAATATTCTTGAACACACACACACACACACACACACACTCTCTCTCTCTCTCTCTCTCTCTCTCTCTCTCTCTCTCTCTCTCTCTCTCTCTCTCTCTCTCTCTCTCTCTCTCTCTCTCTCTCTCTCTCTCTCTCTCTCTCTCTCTCTCTCTCTCTCTCTCACACACACACACACACAAATGCATGCACATTGTTATGTATGTGCAATATTCGTGACATGTAACCTGCCAGACGTAGCTACAGACGTAATTACTGGTAAAAGGGAACACTGGGCGGACCCAGCATTTGAAAAAGTGGGAAACACATTAGGGAACGAGACCAAATTTACTGTAGGTCCAAGAGTTGGGTACAAAATGTGGGAAGCTCTTCAAAGGAATATTCTTAGAGGGACACTGATTTTATTCCTTGTCTACAAAAAGTCATACATGTATATGATTGCCTGCCCTCTATTTCAGCTGGAGAACTTCACTCTGACCCTCAAGCCACACACTTTTTATTTTTCATTTCACAGGCCTGCCACCTCTACTGAAAAGCAGCCGGTCTAAGAAATAACTTAGACATAAAACTATTTATTTTTATTATGTTTCCCCAAGTAATAAAGACCCTCTCATACAATATAAATGTTATATATAAGTTCATATCTACACCACTATCAGTGATTCAAGAGGCCAGCTTCAGTTTTAACTCCAGCAGGATGTCTTCCATGTAAATACATTTATTTTTATTTCTCGCAACCTTGTGTGGAAAAGCTGAAATAAAGCCATGAAACATAAACTTTTAAAAGTGTGGCCTCATGTCAGTTTAAGATAACTGTGTAGTGAGAAAGATGCCTGATGGGGTTCATAGTTCAGACAACATGACTGACTTGTGTTTATTAATAATTTAACTTAAAATACGGACATAAATCATGCCAAATTGTCCACTGTCGCCTTAGGCTCGGCTGCAGTGAATTAAACGCTGATAGTTTAGACGACATACCAGACTGCACTTGTGGATATCACTTTGAAGATGCAATTCACTTTTTCTATACCTGTCAAAAATACCATAATATCAGAAACACTATGTATTTCTACACACATGGGTATGATTTAAAAACGATATTACATGGCAGTTGTTCAGTCAGCAGTTCTACAAACATGGCTATTCTTAAATCAGTTAACGATTTCATTGTCAAAAGCAAAGATTCGCGTAGCTTAATTTTATGCATATAGTAATGGAAAACTGCATTATTTATTTCACAGACACCACTTGCTTCAATGTATTGGCTTCAAGTATTTCATTTGTGCATTTAGTATGTTTATGTTTAGACTATCTTATATATAACCAGCTGTTAAGTTATTACCTGGAGAGGTATTTACATAAGCAAGTTTTGCTTGTTTACCGATCCAGATTTCGTTTGAAATAAAAATATGTTTAAACCACTTGTGTTGTCCTTGCAGATACTTTGATATCCCCAGTGACCAGGTGTACACCTCCGACCTGGACAGCCTGCAGTGTGGAGAGAGGTGAGGTCCTCTGTCTGTAGTTGCCCTCCCATGACAGTAATGTGTGTATACCTGTACACAAGATGCTAATGAAATTGTAGTTATCAATATATTTCTGGAAGGCAAAAGCATGTCAAGAGAATACTGTCTCTTTGTTATTAGGGGGCACTGGTGGCCCAGTCGTCTAAGGCACCGCGATTCACTGTGCAGAGTTGCGTCCCTTGGGCACGCCAGAAACCTATGATTGTGGGTTCGAATCAAGTTCGCCCCATTTATGTTTCTAGGTTTGTCAGCACCATACCCGTGCTCATTGGTTTCACTGAAGTGGTAAACATCTGAGACCTGCATCATTTCGGGCTTTCGTCCCACATTAAGCTGACACGCTGTGATATAACTGGAATACTGTTAAAAGCGGTGTTGAACCCAACTCACTCACTCACTCACTCGTTGTTATTAGAGGTGTGACGATACGGGAGGGTCGCGATACGATACGTATCACGATACAGTGTTTACTGGTACAAGCTAAGCCAAGTTGATGACTTTCTGCTCTCTAAAAGATGTGACAAGTACAGTTGAAGAAGATATAAGTTGTTTATTTACTGTTAAAGCAAATTGTCAGCAATACAGTATGTTTTACTGAAACAACAAACTGGCTTTGAAACTGTTAAACGTATTTCATGTTTAAAAGTACTTATGTGTGTTATGAAAAAATCGTATGTATCGCGATACATGCTTTCCAAATCTGTGCATCGGGATACAATTATGTATCGCCATATCGTTACACCACTAATTGTTATTATGGAGATGATCCTCCTAACAGTATATGCACAGAATAGGCAGATGGCTGTATTTCCAGATGACACCCGGGAAGATTCCGGGGTAGAATAGGCCTTCAGCAACCCATGCGTGCCATAAAATGCGACCGTGCTTGTCGTAAGAGGCCACTAACGGGATCGGGTGGTCAGGCTTGCTGACTTGGTGGATGCATGTCATCGTATCCCAATTGCATCGATAGATGTTCATGATATCAATCACTGTATTGTCTGCTCCAAAATTGATTATTTACAGACCATGTCATGTAGCTGGAATATTGCTGAGTGCGGCGTAAAACAACAAAGCAAACATTTCCAGATGTATACGGTTGCTATTATTTATGCAAATATGAGGGAAAAAAAATTCTTTTCATAAAGTACACTCACCACCAAGAGAAATGCGAATACATGTTGGTTAATATATGAAGACTTACTCATATTTAAGAGATATTAGTTAGGTTCGATGCACAATCAAACACTGGTATGTTGTGTGAACCGATGCTCATGAACGCATCACATGTGACATCATAGATCCATGACTCGAGATGCACCATTTGTCTCATGCAGGATTAGCATGTAAAGTTGGGAAATCACACGCAGCACATCTTGATAAGAATAAAGACACTCTGTGGTAACACTTTACTGATTGTTAGTTTTGTCAATAAGTGGTACACATTGGAAACATCTCTACTTAACATACATACTTCTCTATATGATTTTATGTTGGCGTTTCTTTTGGCGTGAGTATATATTGCTACCGTAAATAGTATTCATTAACTGAAAGAAAACTTTATTCAAGTTTCTTCCCGAGTAAACATGGGATGTTCCCTAATTCATCAGTGCTCATGCTCCTAGGGTTCACCAAAGTGAATTGTTATTTATGTCTGCAGCACTTACCTCCCTTTTCACAGTATGGTAGTTTATGATGACAGAAATGTTGTTGTGCTTCAGCGTGTGGACTATTGACCTGACGTACCTGTTGAAGCGGTATGCCATCCCCCACCACTACTTCACCACCACCCTGGGAGTAGACAAGAACTACAGCAAGCAGGTGAGTGGGGGGTCAATCTGATATGAGTTCAGATCTTTAACACCGATGCAATACCTCACTCACAATGTAAATCTAGAATGTTTTGCGAGCAGGAAAGTACTGTGAAAACTGCGAGCAACGCTCACTCGCAATAGTTCCATGATGCGGTAGATCAACAACAAACAAAAGACGTAAGGAGGCATATTTCTTGAATTCACTTCCACACGCCAAACCAGCCAGTACAGGATTAAACACATAATCCCTCACATCCTGTTTTCCCCAAATTACACATTATCACTTTGTGTCAATTGTCTAATTAGTCCAAGTTCATTAACCTGGCACACTCGTCAAGTTGTTGACATAACACTGAGTAATCGCCAGCCAGTCTATTCTGTTAGATAAACACGCTACTCCAACCCCTTGTCATCCACAACAACACATGCATCAACAGTTTAAAACTCACTGACTGAGGACAAAGTGATCTCCAACACGGGCTCGAAACACACAGGATTCGGCATTCATGTAACCCAACCCACAAAAAAAACTAAATGCTGTAGGTTCCCAAATAATCCATCAATTTACATGGCCGAATTAATGGGGATGGCCACAGCTCTACATAACTCACTAAGTTGACTCCAAGCTATTAAAAACAAAAAACAAACAAAATCGACCTAAATTAATTCAACAGATACTCAAAAGCTTCAACAAGCTCCGCAATCTGAGTAAAGAAATAGAATTGGTAAGGATCCCTGCCCACGTCGGAGTGTTTGGTAACAAACACGCCGACAACGCAGCCAAAGCATCACTAAAATAAGAAGAAATAAGTATCAACCTACCAATATGTAAAAACAAGATAAAAAATATCACTTAGAGTAAAATTCTCCAAAAGTGGCAAAACCAATATCAGAAATCAAACTGTAAACTAAAACAGGTGCTCCAAAAGCCACTCCAAAAAAACAAATTCTTCATCAATCCAAAAAATTGACAGGGCAATAATCAAATTAAAGACAGAGCACACTAAACTAAACTCTCCCCTACACAGAATCAGAAAACACCAAACAGGTAAATGCCCTCACTGTAACCAACTAGAAACACCTGAACACGCACTATTACACTGCACACACCACCAACAACACAGAACAACCCTCAAATCCACAATAAACAGTAACAACCAAATGTGTCTGGCAACACTTCTAAACCCACTAAATGACCTACAAACTTCAAGGCATTAGGCATTTTCCTAATTAAAACAGGCCTACTAGGCCCCATCTAATAAACTACAAAATCATTCTAGGACCATGTTAAAACCCTTAAAAAACTAAAAAAGTAAATAAATAAAAATAAATAAAATCCAAAATAACACACAACCACACAAACTTGCTTAGATCCCCGACATTCTTCAAAATTCCAAATTTCCCCAAAATTAAATAAGCAAACCTAAAGACCCCCAGCTGGCCCTTCCTTTTCGGACATACCCTCCTCGGTGAAACCACTAATTGGCCTGGCCGGCATAAGGTCAGAAAGCGCAAGTTCAAAAACACCAAAACTACCTCCCCCTCCCCCCTTAATCCCTCCCTCTCCCAAGAGAGGTACACAAAGTATGTGATCTAGACTTCCAGGTGTCAGACTTTCATTTTTGCAGATGCCTCGGTGGTTCATCACTCACCACTGACTTTGTGTGCAGGGCTCACTTGCACATAGCGATCTTAGTGCTAAGATGATAGTAACTCCCACACTTTAACATAGGCTCACAATAGTCGTAGTGCTAAGATCGCTTTGTGCAGGTGGGCCCGGGTGATTAGGTGCCTCATTCTGGCAGTGTGGGTTAGAATCCTGGATGGGACTTAACCCCCAAAAGTACTACAATCTGTATTTTACTAAGAAAGTGTTGTCCCAAATGTAACTTTTGTTAGCTGTATTTAGCTGCATATACATATTATATAAAGTTGACTGGGCCATCCAGACTTGCTCACTCTGCTGACCATGTTAACAGTGAAATGTGTTCTTGGTGCAGGCCTACTACTGCCGGAACTATGACAAGGAGTCAGTTCGGGTCAACAAGGCGTTTGACGATGCCAAGGCTAATGGCATCATTGTGGAGCAAAAGTAAGTTATGGGTGGCTTCAGCAGCAAGGCTCTGTTAAGGGGAGACAACTTGTGTGAGTTTCTCTTACAGATGCATGGTACAATGTATGTGAATAAATCTGAGTTTAATTTTCTGTAGCACATGTTATGTTTGATAGAAACAAAATAACAGGAAAGATGAATAATCAAAATTCTGAAAATTTATTTGATATCTTACAAAAGTAAAATTACATCAAATATTCTTCATGTACTGCAGAATACATTATCCAACTCAAACGATGTTAAAACACCCATTTCTTTCATATTACTTTAGTTAATCTGCCAAGCCATGACAGCTTAATATGTAACTCAAAAGAAATTTTAAAAAGTGTTTCTTTCATATTGCTGTAGTTAATCTGCCAGGCCATGACAGATTAATATGTAACTCAAAAGAAGTTAAAGAACACCCTATTCTTTCATATTACTATAGTTAATCTTACTACAGTTAATCTGTTTGAGTAGTGTATCTCCATTCATAGCAAGTGTTGAAGGTAAAACAAGAGAACCTTGGAATACCGTACATGGCAGTTCTGACTTTCTGTGCAGGACGCTGAGTGTTGACGACATCATCTGTCACCTGAAGACTAACAATCTGGTCATTAGTCTGGTCAACTGGACGCAGATGGAGTGTATCTGGTGTGACTCAGTGGTCAGTATCAGTGGTTGCATAATACATGTACTTCAATCCTTGAGAATAAAATGTATGCAGACTTTCAATATTCATTGACCCCATGGGGATTCCTGGTGAGAATGGTACCCTGGAACCTGTGCTGGCCGTGAGATGCGACGTAATGGATCAAATTGTCCGGCTTGGTGACTTGGCTTGGATCGATGCTCATGATATTAATCACTGGAATATCTGGTCCAGACTCGATTATTTTCGACCGCCATCATATAGCTGGAATATTGCTGGGTGCGGCGTTAAACAACAAACAAACAAAATGTAAGGATCATCTCCAAACAACATGTAAAAAGAATCCAGATTAAGATCAGAATCACACTGTGCAGAAAGAAAATTGCTGAAGGAATAATAATTTTGTCCATGTCTTGAGAACTGAATGTTTTGATATTTTTTTTCATTTCTCAGCGAAAAGGTTGTTTGTGTTGCTTGGACCTTTGTGCTGGATATCAAGGTAAGTCACATGTCAAGAATAATTCACGAATACAGCAGAACACAGAGATAACGAACATGGATAGAGCGAACAAACAGATACAACGAACAAACGGATACAATGATTATGTTATGTATTTAATGTCATAAATGAATGTTATGAAATGTTATCAAATGAATGCTATGAAGTGATCACTGCAAATACAAGTCATTACTGCAGTTATGTGTATTGTGTTTTGTTTTATACAAGATGGCAGACCTTTCCAAGCGTAAACGTATATAATGAACACGTATGTAACAAACTGATTTCTCCGTTCACTGGTAGTTTGTTATATCCATGTTCTACTGTATTTACACCTTACGATGTGAACTCAGTAATCTTGTATATATCTTTGTATGTATACTCGTGACTAAAAGATCAGATTTGGTTGTGTTTTCTTCACCACACATATATAAATAAAGATAATTCAACAATCTGGGGTGAGTGCTAAGAAAGAGTTTGAATAGTGAGTCAAGGTGAGGTGAGATGAAATGGAGTTTAATGTCACATTCAAGGTTATTGCAAGTCAACATTTTAATCAGTAGTCTACCCAACTGCACCTGATACCCAGGGGTATTTGAGTGACTAACATGGGGTTTAACGTCGCGCTCTAGATTATTGCACTAATATGGGTGCGTGCGTGCGTGCGTGCTTGTAGGAGTCGGTTGATAGTGCTAACCCACGGACATACCATGCTCAATCTCTTTAAAATCAGATCTAAGTTCTTGCTACCACTAAACAAAGATCTGAGGACATCCCATTACCTGTCATGTCCGAACGACCTTTCATCCGACCAATCAGAGCATCGCTTACATGATCATGAGAGTGATTGTTGGAATGTGATTTCTCATCATGTGACCTTGAAAACTTTAACACGGGGTATTCCGAACTATAGTTAATCGAGAATTTGCCAAATATGTTTCGAAGGGTAGTCGCCAATTTGAAATTAGTGCCATAAAGCACGAGAAAGCTGCCTTCTGACTGGCTAATGTCACCCTCTTGTCAGTCATTCCATTGGTCAGTCAAAGTTTGCACATGGTCGGTCTGATGTGACCCGTAATGGGATGTCCTCAGATCTTTGTTTAGTGGTAGCAAGAACTAAGATCTGATTTTAATGAGATTGATATACTGCTTGACAATCATGTCGTCTGTATCACCCAGCTGCGTCAGACATGGGGTACCTCTGTTTCATCAGAGATTGTACCATGCTATGTATAATATGGAGACCCCACTCAGATACAGTATACTGACTCTGAGCCAAACAGCCCTTGTTTTATCCCCTCAATGCTAGACAAGTACCATTGTTTAACGTCTTTTGGTATAACGCAGCCAGGGGATGGAACCACTGACCTTCCATTCTGTGGTCAGGCGCTCTATCCACTAGACCACGGGGGCAGTTTTTCATATATGGTAGCCAGGGAACTCTCTATAGGGTTTGGATCGAGAAACAACCAAATGTTTCCTTTCTCAGTAGGGGACGGCTGATTATACTTCTTTATTGTTGCTGTGAAGACATCCATCAGCCACAAAGTGCAACACATTCATTTCAACAGCCATACTTTATGTAAGGTGGAAACTAGGGCTGGGACGAGTCCAAATTTACTACCCGGGTACCTAACCCCCTATTACCCACTGTAGGTCTCAGGAGATGTCTCAAATGTCTGATTGGGAACTTTTTTAGCATAGCCCTGGCAAAATGTATTTAGATACATGTATTAAACAATCTGGTCATGCATACACTGAAGTTGACTTAAGTTATATCTTTATTCAACCATATGAAAAATCAGAAGGAATGAGTGGATAGTCAGAAAGAAAAGCAAACATTAATGACTTGTAGTGTAACCATAGAGTTCTAGATGATATCATTAGACAATATAGCACATGACTAACCACGGGTCCGGGTAGTCCTGTGGCTACCCAGGTCCTACTCAGTACCCACCCGACCCGGGTACCCGAGTTATCTGTCCCAGCCCTAGTGGAAACGCCACCAAGTGACCCTCTTTCGAAATAGACATGTTTACATGGTGAGCTGGTATGACTGAACAGTAGTTCACTAAGTATTGGTCAGTGTTGGATCAGAAAAAATGAATTTCACATACACTTGGTTTTGAGTATTGTTTGTCTGCTAGTTTATCATAAATTCCCTGATTGACCTCTCTTGTCTTTAAGCTCAACTAACGGTTAAAGGTGGACTAGACTGGCAAACTGCCAGAAATAGCAGGTCAATATAGGAATAGCAGGTTAATATAGGATGGCAGGTCAATATACAATATTGTTTGTCTGCTACCTTAAATATGATGTTGTGTAGCTATAAACAGTACCTTTGTGACACAGAGACCCTACACAAACCACTAATAGCAAGTCCAGGTCAGGAATGGACATCTGCCAGATGAGAAGTCTCTTGAGACATCCCATACTCAACACACTTATTATTCCGCATTACAGGTCACTACATCGTGTTGTGTGGGTACAACATAGACAAGGGTCACATCTACTACAGGAACCCAGACCAGGGAGGCCCAGGTGAGTACATCGTGTTGTGTGGGTACAACATAGACAAGGGTCACATCTACTACAGGAACCCAGACCAGGGAGGCCCAGGTGAGTACATTGTGTTGTGTGGGTACAACATAGACAAGGGTCACATCTACTACAGGAACCCAGACCAGGGAGGCCCAGGTGAGTACATTGTGTTGTGTGGGTACAACATAGACAAGGGTCACATCTACTACAGGAACCCAGACCAGGGAGCCATGTTGGGGTACATCATGTTGGGAGGGGGGGGGGGGGGGGGGTGGGGGGGGGGGGGGGGGGGGGGGGGGGGGGGGGGGGGGGGGGGGGCGCATCATGTTGGGGGGTGCATCATGTTTTGTGGGTATGTCATGTTGTGTGGGTATATCATGTTGTGTGGGTATATCATGTTGTGGGGGCGCATCATGTTGTGGGGTATATCATGTTGTGAGGGTATATCATGTTGTGTTGATATATCATGCTTTGTGGGTATATCATGTTGTGGGGGTATATCATGTTGTGGGGGGAATCATGGCGGGGGGTGCATCATGTTGTGGGGGTATATCATGTTGTGGGTGTGCATCATGTTTTGTGGATATATCATGCTTTGTGGGTATATCATGTTGTGGGGTATATCATGTTGTGGGGTGCCTTGTGTTGTGGGGGTATATTCAACTTGATATATTTCATTTGGACATTAGTCTAGCCTTAATGTTGTAGATCGTTATTGAACAAGTAAATACAAGAGCACTGTTTGGTAGGATGTTTGATGCTAACATGGTCGGTCTTATAATGGTTAACACTGGTGTTGCAGACATGTGCTGCAGCCGATTCAGCCAGTACGACAAGGCCAGGAAAAGCTTTGGTACAGACGAGGACTTGTTGTTCATATTCAAGAAAACAGAGACCGAGCAAGAGAAGAGTGGGATGGAATAACTGACAGATCAGAATCAGATTAGGCAGAATCATCATCACGATCAAACCATTTGATCCATAATGCCATTACAAGCATTTGTCAAAGTAAAAAATCAAACCATTTTTACCCCAAAATGGTGACATTTCTTTGCTGAGATTTCTTTGTATCAAAACTTTACATGTTTTGGGGATTTTTGCCTTTTTGATGTGATATTTCACATTCATAACATGTTTAGAATTGTAAATGTATGCATGGGAATGTGGACTGCACGATGAGTTATCTCCCTTGTTTCATGGGATCAGTCTGTGTGTAACAAGACTGTTGAATGGCCCAAGTCATTCTCAGCTCTCATACTGTTTCACTTGATGTTGAGCTGGTGCCAACTTCTGAACCCTAATGATGTGTCAAATTTGAACTGAATTCTTTATTTTTATTATTTATTTTATACTTGCATTTTGTCAAATATACTTATCAGATTATTCAGTTTTATGGGTCAACATGATCCATCAAACTATGGCATTATACAGATAATCACTTGTTTGTGTCACTGTCTTGCTTCATCAGAATATGGTTGTAATATTTGTCAAACTATAATTTTGTTACCCAAAATAGAAGTGTCACCCTGTGAGGATTCTGGGTTAGAAAGAAGGTCCCCTGCCACCTATGCTGGTCGTAAGAGGGGACTAAATGGAACAGGTAGTCAGGCTCGGGGACTTGGTTGATGGTGTCACATTGTTTTTCACAATATCAATCACTGGATTGTCTGGTCCAGACTCGATTATTTACAGACCGCCGTCATATAGCTGGAATATTGCTGAGTGGGGTGTTAAACAACAGTCAAACAAGTGGACACAAAATACAGAAAGTGAGATGAAAGCAGAAGAATTCATAGGTTGCTAAAACTTGACATCCAAGATGCTGTACAGTGTGAGGACATGAGTGTGCTTTAGAGAGTGTCCACTTTGTAGAGTTGGCAATGGATCAGTCACTGACGCTGTACAGTGTGAGGACAGGAGTGTGCTTTAGGGAGTGTCCACTTTGTAGAAGTGGCGATGGATCAGTCACTGAGGCTGAACAATGGGAGGATAGGTGTGTGCTTTAGGGAGTGTCCACTTTGTAGAGGTGGAGATGGATCAGTCACTGACACTGTACAGTGTGAGGACAAGTGTGTGCTTAAGAGTGTGTCCACTTTCACAGTCGTATTCATAAAGTTCATTGTACTTCTTTGAAAATATCAGAAAACTAAAACAAATTATTTTTTAAGATGGGGAAAAAAGCCAAAAATGAAAAAAAAAATGCTTTAATACAGAAACACCACCACAAAATGAGGAAAGTGAAGAAATCTACACTGTTGACTTACCAAAGAATTGCAGCGTTTTCAAATATTTTGTTTTAGTGCCTGTATGAGAGGGAGTCTATGAGTGCAGTATGGACAAAACAACCCCCTGACTGGGATCCATCATTTGTCACATATACTGCCAATCTCATTCAAATCAGATCAGAGTTCTCGCTTCCGCTAAACAAAGTTTTGAGGACATTCCATTACAGGTCACGTCAGAACGACCTTTCGCGAATTTTGACCGACCACTGAAATGACTTACAAGAAGTCGACATCAGCCAATTAGAAAGCAGCTTTCTTGAGCTTTATGGCACTCGTTTCAACCTGGCAACTTCCATTTCAGACTACGCTTGAAAAATATGCTGACACAGTTCTCGATTAAAATTTTGAAAACTGAACATTCCGGAATGTCTAATATATGGGTTAGATTGTATAGCAGTGCTTCCCACATACTGTTCAAGGCCACCTCTGTTCAAATGTTTGTCCCACTGAAGCGAATCTAGACGATAATTTTGACAGAATCGGTCGCGGTCGTAACTGTCGTTCTGAATACCCATTGTTGACGTTTTCAAGGTTGCATGATTAGAAGACACATTCCAACTGTCCGTTTCATGATCTGGTATGCGACGCTTTGATTGATCGGATGAGAGGTCCTTCTGACGTGACCCATAATGGGATGTCCTCAGATCTTTGTTTAGCGATTGCGAGAACTAAGATCTGATAATAATGAGATTGATATACTGCTTGATAATCATGTCGTCTGTATCACCCAGCTGCGTCAGACATGGGGTACCTCTGTTTCATCAGGGATGTTTTCAGGCACATCATTCAAGTGCATGGTGAATGAGCACCAGCTGTTAGGGAGTGAAAGTTTTGTCACAGATGAACCATGGCCATGGGTTTCACCCAAGTGGTAGGCATCTAAGACCTGCATCACTTCAGGTACATGTTAAACACACAACAAAGTAATTTCCTTCTTTAGTTTCTCCTCAACTTTGTATTCTTTGAATAAACGCCTGAGACCTGCATCACCATGAGCTCTCCTCCCACATCAAGCTTACATGCCGTGACAGGACTCAAATACTGATCACTCACACTAAATTATGTACATTTTCATATGATTTTGAACTAGCGGACAAAGATAGTGGCTTTTAACATTCCGAATGTAATTCCTGATACTACTTGTGTAAGAACAACTTTTGCCAATGTATAAACTTGATGGATCAGATATATAAGATGTTTTTTTATCAATACCAGCTTAAAAGTGTGGATTTGAGGGCAGAGTACAGTAAAAGGTGACAGAGGATGAGACCCGTGAAGATCTGGGGTAGAATATGTCTTCAGCGACTATGCTTGTCGTAAAAGGCGACTAACGGGATCAGGTGGTCAGGCTCACTGACTTGGTTTAATGCATGTCATCGCATCCTAATTGCGTGGATTGATACTCATGGTGTCAATCACTGGATTGTCTGGTCCAGACTCGATTATTTACAGACCTCCATCATATAGCTGGAATATTGCTGAGTGTGGTGTTAAACAACAACCAACCAACCAACGAGAGATGATGATCACTGGTTACATTTTGATTGTACATCAGCTGTGTGAATTGTTGTTCATGCTATCAACCACTGGTTTACCTGACCCAGACTCACATGCTGTCGTGATATTGCTGGAATATTGCTGACACAGCATAAAACCACATTTACTCACTCACAGCAGTGAGTCAGGTCTTCACATGGGGAGTTATCACAGCAGAGGATAAGATGTGATTTTAATGAGATTGACACATCCACAATGTTTTAACAGAGGTACCCCCTGGTCTGTCGTGTCTGTTTCCATAGTGTAACTGTTTGTATGGGAAGTGTTAGTGTACGTGAGCCATGAACCTGTTTTGTTTATTTGATTGTTAATTATGTATTCTGGAATTGGTTGATAATGTTATTTGAGCATGTATAAATTCTTTGGAATATTTTGTTGAAGTTTTTGTGAATATTGTTAAATGCTTGTGTCAGTGAGAACAATATTTCTAATGTATGTAGTGATGCAGATGTAATGTTTGTGTCAGTGTTTCTTCTGTATACAGTGTATGTCTGATATATTATTGTGAGGATGTGTCAGTTTGATGCAATGTCACTACTTGTTGTATTTGGATTGTGGTTAAACTTGGGTCAAAAGCAGTCCTATACGCACCCAGGTGAAATATGAGTCTCCTTCCAAGTTATCTCCCCTTAGGCTAAAAAAAAAATCTTAGGTCTCAGGCACCGCCTGCTTCATCACAAAGTCCGCCGCACGTTTCATTTTTATATATTTCCCTTTTTAAAAAAAACTAAAAATCCTTAAATATTCCACATCCAACCAAGGCCGAAGTTAACTTTTTTTGACAGGGGGGTGGAAATATTTGTACAAGTATCACTTGTCCCCTACTTGTATTTTCATGATTCAAATAAAACTGTTTTGTATAAAAAATCCAGGGGGGCAAACCCCCCCCCCCCCCCCCCCCCCGGCTGGCTACGGCACTGCCAACAGTAGTCTATTACATAATTCCAGTATTATACTCATCAAAGAATTAATGGATATAGCGAGATTGATTGTACACAACTGTTTGTTTGGTTACATACAAGTTTAAACAAGCAAAAAAAACCACACCGCCCGCCTGCACTATATTTTTAAAAGCCATTTCCTGATAACCAATTTTTTTATTCTACTAAGCTTTTTAGTTGGGTGCATTGATGTGTCAAAGTACAAAATTGAACCAAATCAGGTCATTGTATCATTAAAATGATGAAGACAGGGTTTTATCCTGACCTGCAAAACTAGGGGTCCAGGGGACCAGGGGACCGCCAAGTACTGATTTCAAGGGTTCCCAGAGGAGGTATGGGGGTCCTCTATAGAATTGTATTGTTAGTGACAACTGTAGTGTAAGATTTAGTAGTTATTTGAATTACAGGAACTTATATATTTCTTGTCAAGAATTTGGTACAATGAATATTATTTTGCATCCCAAGGGATGACGTGTTTCAGGAACCAATGTATATTTTTTTCTGCATCCACTCTATACATTTGTGCATACTGGATGCACATTCTAGGTAGCGTAAAAGCTTGGGTGAAGTTATGCTTGACAAAGTGACAGGTTTTTGAACATGGGGATGGTTTTGTCACTTGTCATGCAACTTGTTTGATAGACTAACATTTAGATATATGTGCTCTTAAAGTTCTATGTCAATACAACTTCAGGATCTGACAATGAATACACATTGCCTGGTTGAACTGTTTGTGAATTCTAGTCATTGTTTCAGGAACCAAGGCAACATTTTATCATTTAGTACAGATTCAATGTGTGGCTTCAAGCAATAGTCACTTGATGGACATATCTCCTTCCTCCCTGTAGGGACACGGTGGTCTTCACTAACTCATGCTTGTTTTGTGGGGAGGCCGGTATCTCCTCACTAACTCATGCATGTTTTGTGGGGAGTCCGGTAGCTCATCACTAACTCATGCTTGTTTTGTGGGCAGTCCGGTAGCTCATCACTTACTCATGCTTGTTTTGTGGGGAGTCTGGTATCTCCTCACTAACTCATGCATGTTTTGTGGGGAGTCCGGTAGCTCATCACTAACTCATGCTTGTTTTGTGGGGAGTCTGGTATCTCCTCACTAACTCATGCTTGTTTTGTGGGGAGTCCGGTATCTCCTCACTAACTCATGCATGTTTTGTGGGGAGTCTGGTATCTCCTCACTAACTCATGCTTGTTTTGTGGGGAGTCTGGTATCTCCTCACTAACTCATGCTTCTGTTAGGGGGAGTCCGGTATCTCCTCACTAACTCATGCTTGTTTTGTGGGGGAGTCTGGTATCTCCTCACTAACTCATGCTTGTTTTGTGGGCAGTCTGGTATCTCCTCACTAACTCATGCATGTTTTGGGGGGAGTCCGGTATCTCCTCACTAACTCATGCTTGTTTTGTGGGGAGGCCGGTATCTCCTCACTAATTCATGCTTGTTTTGTGGGGAGGCCGGTATCTCCTCACTAATTCATGCTTGTTTTGTGGGGAGGCCGGTATCTCCTCACTAATTCATGCTTGTTTTGTGGGGAGTCCGGTATCTCCTCACTAACTCATGCATGTTTTGTGGGGAGTCCGGTATCTCCTCACTAACTCATGCTTGTTTTGTGGGGAGGCCGGTATCTCCTCACTAACTCATGCTTGTTTTGGGGGTAGTCCGGTATCTCCTCACTAACTCATGCTTGTTTTGTGGGGAGTCTGGTATCTCCTCACTAACTCATGCATGTTTTGTGGGGAGTCCGGTATCTCCTCACTAACTCATGCTTGTTTTGTGGGGAGGCCGGTATCTCCTCACTAACTCATGCTTGTTTTGGGGGGATTCCGGTAGCTCATCACTAACTCATGCTTGTTTTGTGGGGAGGCCGGTATCTCCTCACTAACTCATGCTTGTTTTGTGGGGAGTCTGGTATCTCCTCACTAACTCATGCATGTTTTGTGGGGAGTCCGGTATCTCCTCACTAACTCATGCTTGTTTTGTGGGGAGGCCGGTATCTCCTCACTAACTCATGCTTGTTTTGGGGGGATTCCGGTAGCTCATCACTAACTCATGCTTGTTTTAGGGGGAGTCTGGTATCTCCTTACTAACTCATGCCTGTTTGGGAGTGGGGTGAATCCGCTAATGCCTCATCCTATTCATGCTTGTTTGGGGGGGGGGAGTCCGCTAACTCCTCACTAACTCATGCTTGTTTAAAGCTCTTTATTAGTCCAGTTTTGGAAACAAATATGAATGAAAATTGTTTCTAATTTATCGTTCAATTATATCATTATTGTTGAAAATGTAATTTATCGTTCAATTTTATCATTATTGTTGAAAATGTAATTTATCATGGAACATCATCTTGGTGTTGGTGAGTCTACTTGTGTAGGTGAGTTTTCATGATGTAGGGTGGTGGGCGTAAGGGCCTCATGGTGGAAGTATCACACGCACACCAAATCCACTGTAAAGTATCGATACGATACAGAGTAAACAAACGTATTATGTAACTGCCACTGTCCAGAAGACATACTGTGCCAAATATTAGAGGACCAAAGATACCTGTATTATTTCTCAATCGCGCCCACTTTCACTCATTGTTTTTCATTCACATTTCGCCTGTAGAACAAGGGCAGATAACTCTATTAAACTTTAACAGTATATTGACATATACTTGTGTGACTGACTCGAGAACTAATTTGCTTGCAAAAAATGGACAAAAAGACAGCTTTGTGT